AACAGAAATGCATAAGATTACGATTCTGCAGATGATTCGTTACGGAGACGGAACACGAACACTTGCCGAAGTTGTTCGCCTATTTCAAGAAAAATATCCGGAGTTGCCGCCGATATCTCAAGGTACCGTAAGTAAAATAGAGAGAAGAAAAAACCCCAAGAAAAAACTCTCGGGGGCCGCAAAGAGGAAACTCAAGCGGCTGAGAATGCAGGCTGAAGGACCTGGGCAACCAGGGCCCAGCTCGCAGAATCAAGGGAGGGCCAGAGGACCTGGGCAACCAGGGCCGAGCACCTCCGTACCCAGAAATCAACGGGGGGAAACTCCAACAGCCGGCGGCGTTAAACGCAGCCGACCAGAGGGGGACACCCCCAGTCCAATAACACGGCCGCTCAAAAAAGGGCAGGTGGAATGGCACAACCATCCACCACCTATGCAGCGGCCGTGTCGGATATCCGAATGGCAATAATGCCACAAGGCTATCCAGACCAAGCCCTAAGCGAGGAGCAGGCGGACCTAATCAGGGCCGTCTTCCGCCAAGCTTTGTGGGCAATTAAACGAGGAGAACCGGGACCCCGGTTCTCCGGAGTCTATTTGAAAGGGGGCTTCCTGCTGGCTTCATGTGCTGACCAGTTCACCAAGGACTGGGTGGCGCGTGTGCTAGCGGAGAAAGAACCCTGGCCAGGGGCGAAACTTATCATCACCGATGAAAAGGACGTCCCTAAACCAGCTAGAACACTAGTGTGGATTCCGGGGCCAGCCAAGGAACCGGAGGAAATACTAAGTAGCCTCGACATACAAAATCCAGGGCTCCACACGGAAACCTGGACAGTAGTTGATAGGAAGCTGGACCCTAAGGGACAGCAACTTATCATAGTGATGAGCCAGAAATACTGGAAGGTGCTGGAAGGGCTCCAATGTAGACCCTACTTCGACCTAACCAGGGTCCACTTTAAGGCCCTGGGAAGGAAGACAGTGGGGGCTACAGAGGACCCGATGGAAGTCGACACAGGAGGGCCCCCGCCGCCAGACAGGGAACCATCTACGTCGACGTCAGGGGAAACACCCCAGAACTAAGGTAGGTGCATTCACGGTCCTACAGATCAATCTACATCACTGCAAGGCGGCATCGGCCGCCCTGCAGAACTATGTAAAGAAAAACAACATAGATATTGTACTGATACAGGAACCTTGGGTTTTTAGGGGGAACATCAGAGGACTACGAATGTCAGGAGACTGGGAAGTCATAAGCCCAGGAGGGGACCATCCCAGGACATGCATCCTGACAAAGAAGAGAAACAACCTACTGCCATTATGGGAACGCTGTACGAGGGACCTGATGGTAGTAAGAGCCAACATAAACATGGAAGGGAGTGACAAGAGCCTAATTATTGGATCCGCATACCTCCCATATGACCAACCAGGACAACCACCCACCCCAGAGGTCAGAGAACTGGTGTGCACCAGTTCTCTGACCTTCTGCAAGAGGAGCAATACACAATTAGTGCTTTGTTGCGATTCCAACGCACACCACATCGTATGGGGGAGCACCGGAACCAACAATAGAGGTGAGTCACTTTTAGAATTTATTATTACTAACAACCTAGAAGTAGCAAATTGCGGCAACGAACCCACCTTTGTCACGGACGCAAGGAGGGAAGTTATCGACATAACAATTGGCACACCCCGTGTGTGCAACGAAATAAGAGAGTGGCACGTCTCGCAAGAGGAGTCACTCTCGGACCACAGATATATAACATTTAACATTGCACTTCCACGGGGAGAGGTACAGACGTACAGAAATCCAAGAACCTGCAACTGGGATCTCTTTAGAGAGATACTAGGGCAGGGGCTGGAACAATGTCCGACGAGACCAAAGACACCTATGGAAGTGGAACTGATGAATGAATTCATCAAGAAAACTATCATTCACGCATACGAGGAAAGCTGCCCCCTTAAGCAAAGGAGGGCTCGGCAGGAGACCCTTTGGTGGAATGCAGAGCTCTCCTCCTTGAGGAGGGAGACTCGTAGACTGTTTAACCAGGCTAAAAGGACTGGACGATGGGAAGAATATAAAATATACCGTCGAGAATATGTATATGCCATCAGAAAGGCAAAAGAAAAATCCTGGAGGAAACACTGCGAGGAAATCGAGAAAACCTCGGAAGGCGCAAGACTCCAGAAGATGTTGCAGAAGGACAACCGGGGTAAACTGGGATCACTGCAAAAACCACAGGGTGGGTGTACTGCATCAGAGGAGGACACCCTGGATTTACTCCTGGAAACACACTTCCCAGGCAGCACACCCACAGAAACCAACAACTCAGACCCTGAAATACCGAATACTCGGGGAATAAGGGAGAGCTGGAGACTATCTCAAAAACTAGTTGATCAAACCAAGGTTATATGGGCTGTGAAATCATTTGCACCATATAAATCACCGGGCCCAGACGGGATAATGCCAATAATGCTACAACAGGGGTTGGAAGCTCTAGCTTCCCCTCTGTGCGCACTGTTTAGGGCCAGCCTGGCCCTAAGCTATGTGCCACAAGACTGGCGAATGGCTGAGGTGGTATTCATACCTAAACCTGGGCGTGAATCCTATGCCCAGGCAAAATCCTTTCGCCCCATCAGCCTAACAGCGTTCTTATTAAAGACGCTAGAAAAATTAGTGGACAGGCATATCAGGGACGTGGGACTAAGGGAAAACCCCCTGCACCGACACCAGTATGCCTTCCAAGCAGGCAAATCCTGTGAACTGAGCATCCACGAACTCACAAGCAGGATTGAACGGGCCCTAGGACTGAGATGGATAGTAGGACTGTTTACGGGACACTGTCCACTCATGCGACATCTTACGACAATCGGGGTGAAAAATGATCCCGACTGTAGAAGGTGCGGAGAGGAGGAAGAAACCTCCCTCCACATATTATGCGAATGCCCGGCGCTGGCAGCTGCCAGGTATTCGAACTTTGGGGCCATAACAATAGAACCAAAAGAAGTGACAGACGCTCCATTAGAAACTGTCCTTAAATTTCTTAAGGAAACAGGACTAATGGAATGACTAGACTATGGGGGCACAATAAGCATCGCTTAAGTGCACAGGGCACGTACCTACCCCATACGCAATCAATCAAGTAAAATAGAGAAGCAGTTTCGGGAACGTGGACATGTACAACAGTTAAAGAAAAAATCCTCTCAATAGTTTATTGAGAGGATTGAGTTCAGTGATGGTAAGAAATCACTGAGTTCAGTGATGATAAGAAATTGGATGTAATGCTTATGCTTGAAGAAAATCCACATACGTCGAGATTAGCCATTAGCCAAGACGATTTTGATAGACGAATTCTCTTTTGTGAACAAATGATGCAAATGATAGATGACAATACTTTACAAATAGAAAATGTTTTATTTTCGGATGAATCTACATTTATACTTCGCGGCCATATTAATCGCCAAAACTGGCGTTACTGGTCGAGAGAAAATCCTCACTGCATGAGGGAACTACACGCTTAAAACCCAAAATTAATGTTTTGGCAGGAATAATTGGAGAAAATATCATTGGTCCCCCATAACTTGTATCCGGCTGAAGGAAACCCACAATTTCCAGGTAATGCAATATGGTTCCAGCAGGATGGTGCACCAGCACATTACGAAGTCAATGTCCGGCAATATCTCCACACAATCTTTCCAAATCGCTGAATAGGGAGACGTGGTTCCGTAAAATGGCCTGCACGATCACCTGATTTCACGCCGTTGGACTTCTTCCTATGGAGATATGTAAAAAGTATAAGTATAACGCCGATGTTAACTAACGTTAGAAGACATTTCTATTTACGTCTGGGATGCTGCCAATATTCTGGAGGCATGTATTTTGAACATCTGCTGTATTAATATCTAATGATATGTTTTTTATTTTAATTCAACGAATTTCCTATGCTGGAGAAACTTTTTTTCTTATTAATTTCCGCAATAAAATTTAAAACCATAGTATTTTTGAATAGAGAATGAAAAGACCTTTCAAATGAAGTATCACAAGCCTCTACTTTCAGTTTGAAAATTTAGGGGTTGTAGCCGTGACCTGAAGGGCGTTGAAATTAGGGATGACATTTTTACGGCGCAAGATGTCATTTTATAAATAGAAATTGATGTGTCTCAGGATTTCCTAAAAAAAAAAAATGCATAATAATGGAGCTACTGAATTTACTCCATTTGGCTGTTCCACACTGTATAAGCTACCTTAAAAAAATACCCACTGTAGGTAAAAGGAAAAATAGGAATTGTGTATTAACATGTATTATTAAAATATAGCAGGTGGGACTCATTTTATTATATGTCATTGGTTTTTAAGAAAACTAAAAACTCAAAATGTGTATCAGTGGCTGTTTCATCCTGAAGGTACCGTAAAACTTCAGCTTTAGTTTGCTTTCTTTGTTCGCTATCAACTGAAAAAACAAGGTTTAACATCACATTGAGAAAGAGTATCTTCCACATTCATCTTTCGCTATTTCTTTTGATTTTCCACCAGTGTCCACTTTAAAGATAATAGATTTCTAATAGACTTTCTAAGTATCTTAGACACTTAGACAAGATAAAGTATAGGTATATTAGATAGGTACTAAAAGTATCTAAAACTTTGAAAATTATCTTTTTTCTTATAATACTCCCAGCTCTGTACCTACCTAGATATGCTTACTCTGCTGGTATAGAACACTCATATGTATGTTTTATAGTTTCGTTTGTAGATCCACATTTCCTACATATACATATGTCGTCGACGTCATCTCTCAAGACTGGTAATTTCTGGTTATTTTATTATATCCAACTCTATTACAATAACGGTCATTACAACAGGTTCTATCTATTGTCCTCCTGGCCTTTTCGTATCCAGAAACTGCAAAATATCTCTGAAAGTATAAACAGAACCGTTTTCAGTATTTGCGATTACGTACGTTGTGCTGATAAACATGCTTTGCGTACGTTATGCTGATAAACATGCTTTAGCCGCGGTAATAGCACAGTGGGTAAAGCGCCAAGTGGGAGATGTCGATTACTTCGAAAGCTATTATCCGCGCGGATTCGAATCCCGCCTGTGGCAAACGTTTGATTGTGTGTCCTACATCTTCCCATGTATTCCCACTCTGACACATTCGTAATGATTCCTAAAGGGATAATGTACAGTTTTTTGATGTGGTATTACATTTGATACACCCTGCCTTTAAGTGAAAATACACTTATTTGTCATTTATTTTTTTATGTAAACTATATTTAAAGCAAATTTGAAATTAAATAAAACATCTTAAATTTAAAATGCCCTTATCATTATTCTAATACATTTTTTATTTTAATCGAATAGAGATTATGTGTAGTGTCTGAGGATGTCCAAGACCAAAATTTTACATAGGTTTTGAAAATTTCAAATATCTCGAGAAGCGTTTACTCCATGATGTGCAGGAATTACGCACCTGTAGCTCAGACACTCTACTCCTCGTATAATCTGAGTCTGGAATAAATTGGATTAACAGTACTATCAACAAAAATAAGTGAAATTTTAATCTCTCAAACAACATATTTTATTAACATTAAATAAAACAGTACTTATTGTCGAAGGGCATGCTATGAGAGCGTGATTAGATAGGATTCCGAATACCTCCTCCAGTTTAGTGATGCCTTTGCCATGATTTGTCATTACTAATTTCTTATTTTTTGGTTCACGTCAAATACACCAGAAAAATAGGCAACCACGTGGTATACAAACGTCGTCTTCCACCGGACTAATCATTAATGCACGTTTATTAGTGCCAGTAGGCACTTTGGCAGTTCTATAAATTATCGCTAAATAATACCAGAAAATAATTTATTTCATTATAATATCGACAAAAAGTGTTTTTATCAGTTTTTACTTCTTTTTTCAAAACTTTCACATACAAAACTTCACATTTATCGCAAGGTTCAAGTTTTGAGGGTAAAACATAATCGACTAATAATTAGAAAATTAGGATTTTGTTCTTCAATCAAATTCCTTTCATTAAAATGTAATTTTGCAAATTTTGCAAAGTACTTTTCGATAATTAATAAAAAATCTAAAGAGAATTAACAAAAACGTCATTTGCTAATTAAATACAAATTACTCGGTATATCTGATGAGTGTTAAACAGATTTTCAGAAAAGCAAATACTGACAAGTAGACATTTTAGCAATCATTGTTGGTGTAAAAGTCTCTCTTACTTAGGGTAATTTCAATTTTTTATTTTATGGATAAAAATTTTTTTCCCATTAATTCAAATTTAGTTACACTAACCCACAAAGTTCACTAATACAGTGAACATATATTAAACTTTGGTTATTTAAATAATTATAAATGATATTTATGCAATATTTCACTTAATTGCATGATCTTCCTGTAATGGCATATACATACATAATATTGTGACATTTGTGAAGTGTCATTAGTGACAGCTGACAGTTATTAAGTTTTATAGTTTACATATTGAGTCTGTTTAGTTTATACACTACATGTTAGAATTGTAAAGAATTGTATGGAATGTATGTAATGTATGTAATGTATGTAATTGTATGGAATGGCAGATTAACATTCTAGAAGTCAAATGAATATTCTAGAACACGTAAGAACTATAAATAGTGGTGTTGTTGCTAAGATAAAGTTAGTTGTGATTTGAATGTTACACAGTTAAGGTCGACGAGTTGTAAAGTATTAGTAAACGTGTGGATTTGGAGAAATGAATTATTTAAAGAGAAATACATAACATTTTAGTGACAACGGTGGGATTATTGAAGAATTCGAAGTGGAGAACTTGTATATGGTGAATACTAGATCAGCAAAATACAGCGAAGAAACGACGAATGTGACTGAGATATTAAAATGTTTGCAACAAGGACGACATGAGGATCGTGAAGAGGCAGAAAGCCGAGAGGAAAAGCTACGGCAAGAGGACGAACGACGACGACATCTCCTGTCGTCATCGTGAAGAATCAGAGAAGCGACATCAGGAAATTTGCGAGTCTCAAAAAGTTATAAACACCAGGTTAAATGAAATTTGGTGGCGTGGAACAGCAGATTGATCAGGTAGGCTTAAAAGTTAATCAAAACCAGAAGGTGGTTGAAGAGAATAAGGAACAACTCGAAAGAAAGCTCGAGAGGAAACTAAAAGACACCAAACGGCAAGTACAAAAATAAATACTGGAAAAGATAAATAGACTAGAGCGCCAATTGCATCGTACGTCGATAGCAGATTTAGGAAATTACTCGACCTCACCAGGTACTCCGCTGCAAAACTCAAGCTTAGAGTTGAGAGGTTAGTACTCAAACTGCTTAAGCCTCCTACGTACGATGGACAGTCATCATGGTCCATGTAGCGCAGACAATTCGAAGCTGCCTCAAAGGTGAACGGATGGACTTCACAAGAAATGGCTACTTCGCTTGTCATATCTCTCAGAGGTCAGGCTTTAGAAATTTTACAGAGCATTATTATTATTATTATTATTCGCCGACTTTATAGTCACACTTCTCAGCGTAAACGCTGGGAAACATTCACCCATTCCTGCTGCAGACAGTGATGGCTTGATATCTCATCCCCGCCTCCAGCAGAAATTAGGCTCAGGCGAGGGGAGGAAATTCATCCTATCCCAAAACCTTTCTTACAATGTGGCAAGTTTGTAACAATATTGCCTTCTGGCCATTTATAATGACATTAAAAGATAGTCCTAATGCCGCGATGTTCTTGGCGAATCTGGTCGTCATTACTCCCTCTGCCGATATTACTAGGGCGTACGTCTCCACTTTCTCCAGCCTCCATAGGCGCTTCAGCTCGATTGACAAATTTTCGTACTTCGCGATCTTCTCCCGTTCAGTCTTCTGAATGTTGTGGGTAAGTGGCACAGCGATGTCTATGATGATCCCTCTTCGTTGTTCCTTGTTGATCAGCACAATATCTGGTCGGTTGTTGAAGTCCACTGTTCGATCGGTGATGATTAGCCTATCCCAGTACATCACGGCAACTTCCGATTCCAGCACAGCTTCCGGGACATATTTGTAGTATGGCGGAGCAGTCGCTAACAGGCCATACTTGAGCGCCAGTTGTTGGTGAACCATCTTCGCAAGTTGGTTGTGCCTGCTGAGATATGCTGACTCTGATAGCGCGGGACACCCTCCTATTATGTGTTCTATAGTTTCGCCTGCAGATTGACATTTTCTACATTGGTCTTCGACGTCGTCTCTCAGAATATTCTTCTGGTAATTTCTTGTTTTTATAAGCCTGTCCTGAATGGCAGTCAAGAAGCCTTCGGTCTCGGGGTACATATAGCCGTCGGTAAGCCATTTTAATGAATTTTCTTTGTCGATGTGGTCTGGCTGTAGCATTTTTTGGAAAACGGCCCTGCAAAGCATGTTCCACCCACTGTGTCCGGAGCTCCTCTTCTGTTGGTACTTCGACCGGGATAAGTTCACATCCGAGGCTCAAAGGCGTGTAACCAGCGTCCTCTCTTGCTACTGCTGTTATTAGCGGGTCCCTGTTCGTTAGCAGTTTTCTTTATTATTATTATTATTATTATTATTATTTCGCCGACTTTATAGTCACACTTCTCAGCGTAAACGCTGGGAAACATTCACCTATTCCTACTGCAAACAGTGATGGCTTGATATCTCATCCCCGCCTCCAGTAGAAATTAGGCTCAGGCGAGGGGAGAAAATTCATCCTGTCCCAAAACCTTTCTAACAATATGACATGTTTGTAATACAACTGCCTTCTGGCCATTTCTAATTATTTTATAAGACAGTCCTAATGCCGCGATGGTCTTGGCGAATCTGGTCGTCATCACTCCCTCTGCCGATATTACTAGGGCGTACGTCTCCACCTTCTCCAGTTTCCATAGGCGCTTCAGCTCGATTGATAGATTTTCGTATTTCGCGATCTTCTCCCATTCAGTCTTCTGAATGTTGTGAGTAAGTGGCACTGCGATGTCTATGATGATCCCTCTTCGTTGTTCCTTGTTGATCAGCACAATATCTGGTCGGTTGAAGTCCACTGTTCGGTCGGTGATGATTAGCCTATCCCAGTACATCACTACTCTTTCCGATTCCAGCACAGCTTCTGGAGCATATTTGTAGTAAGGCGGGGCCGTCGCTAACAGGCCATACTTGAGTGCCAGTTGTTGGTGAACCATCTTCGCAAGTTGGTTGTGCCTGCCGAGATATGCTGACTCTGCTAACGCTGGACACCCTCCTATTATGTGTTCGATAGTTTCGCATGCAGATCCACATTTTCTACATAGGTCTTCGATGTTGTCTCTCAGGATATGCTTCTGGTAGTTTCTTGTTTTTATAACCCTGTCCTGAATAGCAGTCAAGAAGCCTTCGGTTTCGGGGTACAGATAGCCGTCGGTAAGCCATTTTAATGAATTATCTTTGTCGATGTAATCTGGCTGCAGCATTTTTGGAAATCGGCCCTGTAAAGCATGTTCTATCCACTGTGTCCGGAGCTCCTCTTCTGTTGGTATGTCGACCGCGATAAGTTCACATCCGAGGCTCAAAGGCGTGTATCTAGCGTCCTCTCTTGCTACTGCTGTTATTAGCGGGTCCCTGTTCGTTAGCAGCTTTCTTCTTAAGGAAGCTTCTTGATTAAGGCACTGATTTTTGATGTTCAATAGACCTCTCCCACCTCGTCTTCGAGACAGATAGAGTCTGATTACGGAAGAGTTAGTGTGCAAGTGCCTGAACTTAGTTAGGAGCCGCCTGGTAAGTCGGTCGAGCTCATCGAGATCAGTAACGGACCACTTGACGATTCCGAAAGAGTATGTCAGCACTGGGACAGCCCACGAGTTGATGGCTTTGATAAGATTGCCTCCAGATAAAAGCGTATTCAGCAACTTTGTCACTCGATTCTTATATTTCTCTTGGAATTCTTTCTTCAGTTGTGTGGGGTTAATCTTGTTATCTTGACACATTCCCAGGTAACGGTATTGCTCCTCCAGTGGCAGTTGATGTCGGCATACACCTCTGGGTTGTTATGAGGTGCTCCCTTCACAATACTCAGTGTGGCGCATTTATCCAGGCCGAAGGACATTTTGATGTTGTCGCTG